CTTTTATTTGATTAAGATGTAAGGAGTCCTTCCCCCCTCACCCCACATTGGCAAGCCTGTCACACCTGAAAGACAGGCTTTGGGATAGACGCTTCTAGAATGATTTCTGGCAACCCTTTTCCCCACCCCAGCTTTATTTAGGTATAACTGGCAAATAAAAGATTTGATATACGTATACACTGTGAAATGATCGCCAAAATCAAGTTAATTAACACATCCATCACCTCACATAGTTGGCTGTGTGTGTGTGTGTATGTGCGTGAGTGGTGAGAACACTTAAGATTTACTCTCTTAGCAAATGTCCAGTGTACAATATAGTATTGTTAACTACAGTCACCGTGCTGGACATTAGATCCCCAGAACGTAATCATTTCACAACTGAAAGTTTCTGCCCCTTGACAAACATCTCCCCATTTCCCCCTCCCCTGGCCCCTGGCAACCACTGCTGTTCTACCCTCTGCTCCTGTGAGTTTGGCTTGTTTAGATTCCACATATAAGTGAGATCATGCAGAATGTGTCTTTCTGTGCCTGGCTTCTTTCACTTAGCCTAATGTCCTCCAGGTGTGTCCATGTAGTTGCAAATAGCAAGGGTTTTAAGTGTTTGCTCTCTCAAGTAAAAATGTCCCCCAAATGGCCTGCACTTCCTTTGCTTTCTTTTAGGGTCACTTCCTCCAGTTTTCTCATTAGCAGAGACGGCTGCAACGGAAGACATCTCATTTTGCAAAGAAATGAAGACAGTAATTAAGTTGCCGTTTAGTCCTTTCCTTTCTGGGCTAACTAATCCCAATTATTTTTAACCTTTTCGCATGGGCTCTTTTTCCCTGACCTTTTAATGAATTTTCACTGCTTCCTTCCCGTCCCTCTCCAGAGGTTACAGAGTCTTCACGGTTTGCCGAAGCCTTTCAATAGTAATAATGAAATGATTATTATTTTTTTTCCCAAATAGGAGATTCCCATATATTTTTCAGAATTATCTAATAACAATGATATGCCTAATTTTCAGCTACATTTCTGGAGTGACATTTTCACCAAAAAGTCTCAGCTATGCTCTCTTCTTTTCTTTCTTTTTCTGTAGCTCAATGTCTTAGCTGCAAACTAAATCATTGTTTAAGATTTGTTCAAACAGCTATTGAGGCTCCACTATGCAGGTAAGAACATGCTAGGTACTGTCAGAGACGGAAAATAGGTAGATGCTGTTCAGTCCTTATGTTGCAAACACCACAGCGATGGGTAGGGAAAACTGGTACTGTTTGAGCATCTATTTGTGTGCCCAGTGCATACTTAATCTCTTTAATCCTCCCAGAATTTTGGAAAATGAATATCAATGCCACTTTCCAGATGAACAAACTAAGGGTCAGAGAAGGTGAATGCCTTGCAGAAATTCTCACGGTTAATTAAATGGTAGAGAAAGTGCTATTAACCCAGACATGCTTTGCCCTAAAGCCAATACTCGGACTTTGCAGAGCTTTGCTTATTTTTGCTGTGCTCACTGATATGACCTTGGATCCCTTTCCCTACTAGTCAAGTGTCACCAGGAAAAAAACAAAGCTGACATTAGTAGTAACTGGAGAAACACTGTTATCCCCTAGAAGTCAACGGGGGGTTCACAGGACAGAGAATGAAAACCTATTAGGACCTTCTCAATGGCATCCCAGTAACCCCGTTCTTCCTGGCTCAGGAGGAAATACAGAAGAGAGCAGGGCTAGGCTGGTGTTCATTCCAGATCCTTCACTTACGAGGGTGCAGCCTTGGGCTAAAGGCTTCACCTCTCTGCCTCTAGTTTCCCATCTGCAAAATGGAAATATTGATAGCGGCTACCTCATTGTGTTCTTGGGCATATTAATATGTTTAAAGTGCTTTGAATTGAGCCTGGGATAGATAAAAGTGCTGAGTAATTAGTAACCATCATTATCACAGAAATCTCTTCTCCCCAGGGTGTAGCAGGAGGGAAGCATTTTAATGTCCATCTTTTCTGGAGTTGTCTCATCTCACTGTAACCATGGCAAACAGCCCCTCCAGATGTTTCCATGACATTTTTTTTTTAGCAAAAAAACTCGAAAATATGTTTTAAGAACCAAAGATATCTAATTTTTCCAGACCAAAGCAAATCTAGGTTTCTATCAGAGCCATAAAAAGCTTTAAGCAAAGATATGGGGGATTAGGCAGGATGTCCTGTGTCGCGCCCGCCTCGCCAGCAAGGAAGACGCGGCAACCGGAGTTCTTCTGACAGCGCTTTAATGGGGATTGCTTAACTGGTTACATGCGGAAGACGCCGAGGAGCTCTTGGAGCGGGCTTATGTAGGCACTAAGTTCATTAGGCAGAATCTGATTGGCTCACGCAAGAGCCCTCATTAGCATACTTGATGAGAGACAGGAAAAGCCCCTACACCTGCGCGGTTCACCCTGTTTATCAGTCTTGTGGTATGGGTGTGACCGGGAAGCCGGCCCCATCTTGCAATGGCGTTAACACCGTGCCCCACAGTCCTGAAGCAATTAACTACACACACAGAGGAAACAAAAGGCAAATCTATAGGTAATACAAGGTCATTGTCTTTTAAGGTGACTTAGGAAACTTAAGCAGGAGTGGAGAATGGGAGAGAATTCAAAATGTCCTCGTATACCTAAGTAGTTTATTCCTTTCTGTTTTTTTTTTTTAAATATAAAATGTATATTGATGTATAACATGTATATGAGAAAGAATACAAACCTCAAATGAATTTTTTACAAATGGGCATACAAGTAGGGCCAGATCACAAGACAGACCATTACCAGAGCCTCTTTCGCCTTATTTTATTCTCAAATTCCCTTCATACTCACAGCCCTAATGAGAAATGACACTATTCAAATGTTTAAAAATAAACCACTTGGCTTTAAACTGTCAGAGGCTATGGAATGCACTATTATTTGTTTTCTCAGATTTTGGCCAAGGTTGAGCCCATCAGAAGTAGTTTTCAAAGGGTCTGGATAGTCTGTATATCCAGCTGACTCGTTGAAAAATACCTTTTCCCATTATATGTTTGTGAGCATAAAGTCGTAAAAAAATTAAAACTCTCATTGGAATAGCTCTAATTTTCCACCAAGCTGGGCTCAATCACACACGGCATTCTATCCTTCCTTGTAACATAATTTCCTGCCACCTGCCTGACGTTTGTTATTTAATTTTGTTGTGTGTACCTATCTTATCTTTTCAACCACATTTCAGATTTCTTGAGGGGAAAATCTTGCTCAACACCTTTGAAGTCTTCACAGTTCAGAGTGCACCTGACATATAGTTATCTCACTTATATTTACCGAAAAAACGATTCAAAGAATGGGTACATCTATCCTCTCAGGCAATAGATGTTGCTAAAATAATAGACGTTTTACTAAAAAAAATTTTTTAAAAACCCACCCAAAACCTTAGTATTTTCCTGGAATTCAGTGTTTTTGCTAATTAACATAATGGATCCAGTAAATAGGGAAGAAATTATGTTTGGGAAAAAAAAAAAAAGATTACCTACAGGGCTGAAATCTTGTCACACAACACATTTGCAGTTTTAGTGTAGTTTTCATCTTAAAGAGGGATTATTAATTAAACCCCAAAGGCATTCTCTGCTCATAGTGTATGCTAAAAAGCACCAATCTCTTTCTAAACAAAGGAGAATCCAACTACTTTGTAATGAGAAGAGCGGCTTATGGGCTAACTGAATGCTACTGAGGTGCTTGGGTAAAGTTCTGCTAAAAAACCTGGAATATCAGTCCCCTTTTATTAATTGATTCATTGATTTATTCCTCAGTCCAATGGGAATTACAGAGTGCCTACTATGTGTAAGACATAGCTTGTCTAACACAGTCATATCACCATGGTGACAAAAATCAGATCATAGATGCTCAAAACCAAAGTATACCAGGGTTGTCTATCCCGGAGATACAAAGATTAATCAGGTGGGCAAGTTCTTCCTCCAAGCTCTGCTCAAATGCTACCTTCTCCATGAATCAATCCATCCATTTCCCCTGAATTCTCGATGTTTTTACCCATTACTTCCTTTTTCACTTATTTCCTTTTTGTGTTATAATGTTGTTGTCTGCAGTGAAACCACAGTGGTAAGAACAAGGATCATAGAGCTAGACTGAGATTTGCATCCTCAATTTAACCCTAACTTGCTATGTGTCCTTGAACACATTAATTCACCTCTTTGGACCTCGAGTTCTTTACCTGTGAAATAGGAAAATATGAGGCTGCCACGTGATACAGCATATGTAATGTATTTCACAGAGATGATAGCAATTATAACTAGCACACACAGCACCGATTGCATTTTTCTTTTTTTTTTTTCTGTTCTTCTTTTTTTATTTCAAAGTATTAAGGGAGTACAAATGTTTTTAGTTATGTGGATCACTTTTGTAATGCTTGAGTCATGGCTATAAGTGTGCTCATCACCCAGATAGCATTCATTGTACCTGTTAGGTAGGTTTTTACCCCTCCCCTCCACCTGCTTCCCCCTGCTTGATTTCTACTAAGTTTTGCAGTGCTCTCTGCACATGTGTTCATTGGTTAGTTCCAGTTAAATATCAAGTACATATGGTGCTTGTTTTTCCATTCTTGGGATACTTCACTTAGGATAATGCCCTTTTCTAAGTTCTTTATGTGTATTAACCCATTTAATCCACACAATAACCCTGTGAACACTTTGATTATTTCAGATTCACAGATGAGCAACTGAGATTCAGAGAGGTTGAGGAATTCTCTCAAAGTCACACAGTGAGTCAAATGGTGGATCTGGATTTTGAATCAAGGTTCATTGCCTCCTGTGATCATGATCTTACCAATTTTTCTAGAAGAACATGGTAGACATTACTATGTGGTAACTATTATTATCCTAATGATAAACACAATGTTATTTTATTTATTTATTTTTTTATTTTTATTTCAGCATATTATGGGGGTACAAATGTTAAGGTTACTTACGTATATTGCCTTTGCCCCCCCCCCCGTCGAGTCAGAGCTTCAAGCGTGACCATCCCCCAAATGTTGCACATCTCACTCATTGGATAAACACAATTTTAATTGTATTTTCCCACTACTCTGTTAGTAGCATCATGAAACAAAGACCAATATCATAGTCATTTATATGTCTTCCACTCCTGTGCTCTGCACATAGTAGGTCCACAGTATTTATTGAATTGAATTGAAATGACTTTCCTAAAAGAGAAACAAAGCAAAGAGAAAAAAAAAAAAAAAGATCGAATTTTTGTGGATAAATGTTTTTTCCATGACCCTGGAGTCTTGTGCAAAATGCAAATTCTTGAACACTTTAGAACGTCATCCTCCATTTCAATCACTTCACAGCTCATCAGTCTCCAGTTCCCTTCGTCCTCTCTCAACCCCCTACCATAAGCCATTCTTAGAAAATAGTTCTCACCCTCCATTCCAGATTTGCAACTTCTATTCATTTGCAACCTAACAAATAGTCACCTGCTCTCTGCCCCAGGAGAACAGGCATCTATGCTAAGAGGTTAAAGAGAATACAGATGTCCTACATCTACTGAATTTGGAAGAAAAGAGGAATGGGGGCAAACCGACCAGCTTTGTAAATGGCTTATGCAACATTTTATCTTTCAGAGCCTGTGATATAGAAATTCATACCACGAGACTTTACAAGACTGCTGGGTACAGCATGAAGACAAGTCATTTGTATTTTGTTACTTGGATTAAATACATATTTTCTTATACATCTTAATTCCCCAGCAGGTTTTGTGTATGAACTCACCGTTAGAAGGCAGGAAGCCGAGTCGGTCCAGTTGTTTAAGCTGATTGACTTTCAGGTTGACCAATGAGAGCAGAAAATCATGTCTACCACAAGATGGGCCACCGGGCATTGCCTTGGGAAGCAGGAAACAAAAACAAACAGTAGACCAAATGTTTGTTTCCCATTCTCTGCTTCAAGCTGTTGTGTTGATGCTGGTTTATTCAACCTGACGAAGCTTTGATAAAAATAAATTAGATGTTGTAAAACATAACCGAGAAATCGTCACCTATTTGAGTTGGACGGAAATTTAGAGGTGATCAACGTTAACCACTCCCCTTCTCAAATCAGAAATTGCTTTTGACCATTTGATTTTTTTCCCCCATTTGGTATCTTCTGAGTGTTTGTTCAGTTCCAGGCATTATGATGGGCACCGTAGCTACAGAGGTGAACAACTGAGTTCCTGTTTCAGAGGAGCTCCCCATGTAGGTTTGGAAAGAGGCACGCAAGCTTTGAAATCTTAGGTGGTCATGTTAAGGGTTTTGAATTTGAGGTGGATGGTGAAGGTGATCTGGGCAGGCTTCCTTAGGTAGGAGCGACTGAGGTGGGTTTTGAAGAATGTGTAGGAGTTTTACCTCATGGAGCTGAAGAGGTTTCCCAACCATTTCTCTTGAGCAGACTCTCTCCTTTCTCCAGTAGTTAATCATGTTGGGACAGTTTTTGGAAAACCTCTTGAGCCTAAATATTCCTTCCTATGCGGAAACCTCTATTGTTTCTAGTTCTGTAGTTTGGAAAGACTCTTTTCCTTTTACAGGGCAACATCAGATGCTTAAAGAGAGTCCTTTTGCCTTCTATAGTGACCCCTTTAAAAAATAAATATCTTATGCCAAAATAAAAAAATAAAATAAAATAAATATCTTTTCGTCACTTCTTATATAACTTGACATTAGTTCCTTCATCTTTGTGATCATCCTTTGCTGGTAAAAATATATATATATATATATGTATATATATATGTATATATATATTACTTTGGGGGTCTACACTAAGAACTTTTCATTTCTTGCTCTAGCCTTATGACAAATCCTTCGAGATACTATTTTTACTCCCATTTTACAGATAAGGAAATAAAGAGTCTGAGAATAACCTGCCCAAAGTAATATCACTAGTGGGTGACAGAATCCACACTTGCAGACGCCTGAGCCCTCATTTTAACACTTAATAATATCGCCTCCTAGTTGCCCACTGATTTATTAAAATGATCAGACACAAAGACTCGAGATGTCCATTATTTACCTTTTAGCTGATGAAAAGCATTATATCAAAAAGTAGGATGTACTGGAGCCAATTAGGGAAAAGAAGTGAAACTCCGATCTATAATTATATTCGGCTTGGCGGTCCATGTTCTGAGTAGGGAGGAACGTGTTTTTGTCGGAAGAAATGTGATGTAACTGTCACAAGTACATGGTTTCCACTGTCTAAATGGTGAAGCAGAAGTCACAGTTGTGTCCAATAAACACAGAAGGATTGTGCGCCGGATCCTGAACCACATCCGTGCGGTCTAAGACCCCAAAGCCACGGATTATGCAAGGACTGTGCCTACATCCCTGCCTCCCTATCTTTATGTGATTTTTCACCCGCTGCCTTTCGTTTTATAAAATTAAGGCGACCACTTGCATATTTTATGAGAAATCGTAACCTCGGACCGTGGGTGATTTTGACCACCACGGGACATTTGGCAATGTCTGGAGACACTCTTGGTTGTCACAACTAGCAGGAGAAATGGTACTACTGGCATCTAGTGGGTAGAGCCCAGGGATGCTGCTGAACATCCTGCAATGCACAGGACGGCCCCCACAGCACAGAACTATCAAGCCCCTCACGTAAGTAGCGCTGAAGCTGAGAAACCCTGCAGCAGACCCGGGTCATTCTCTTCCCCTCTTCCCTTTCCCACTAGTTTATTCTCCCCGCCCTCCCAATCCTCTCTTCTATCCGACTTCTTTTCCCTCTTGATGGCAGATAAAATAAAAAGATTCCTCACTGAGCAGAAGTTGCCTCTGAAAACCCGGATGATGAGGCTACCAGAGGCAAAGAGCATGGTGGCATATAGGATGTCAGGACTAGTTAGAGTGCAGGGCCCCACAAGTGCCACTTCCTCTGAGCCGCAGGCCTGCTGCAGTTGGCAAGCCATCGAGTTACAAAAAGACGACAATAAATTTGTTCCTAAACAGATAAGAATCCAGTTACACAAAAGGACTCAATGTTCCCCACTTCCAAAGTGGAGTTTCCTGCACCCTTCCGGCATAATACCTCCAGTGACCATCAGTAGATTACTGAGGACTGTACTAGTTTTCTGGGGCTGCCATAACGAAGCCCCATAAATTAGAGGGCTTAAACAACAGTGGTTTATTTTCTCACCGTACCTGAGGCTAGAAGTCTGAGATTCAGGTGTCAGCAGGGTTATTTTTTTCTGAGGCCTCTGTCCTTGGCTTGCAGATGGCTGTCTTCCCTTCCTTCTCTCTGTGACTTCACGCACAGTGTCTTTCTTCTGTGTGTGTCTACGTTCCAATCTCTCCTATTTTTTCTTTTAAGACGGGGTCTCGTGTTGCCTGGGCTCGAGTGGCATCATCAGAGCTCACCACAACCTCATATTCCGGGGCTAAAGCTAGTATCTCCTTCATATAAGGACACTATTCATGTTGGATTAGGACCTACACCAATGACCTCATTTAACTTTAATTACCCCTTTAAAGACCCTGTCTCTAAACATAGTCACATTCTGAGGTACTGGAGGCTAGGACTTGAATGTATGAATTTTAGAGGGTCATTCAGCCCATGACAAGGACATTGCCATTGTTGTTTACCTCTTGGTAAAGTACAAATATCCCCATTGTATGCTAATATCCCCATCATCTGCAAACTATATTAATTCATAAATAACCAAGCATATTCAATTAGTTGTTTTAATTATAAATCCAAAATACCTTGAAATAGGTCCTGTCATGGCTTTATGTCCCTCGCCCTGAATTCATATGTTGACGTCCTAACCCCACGTTCCTCAGAATGTGACCTTATTTGGAAATAGGATCTTTGCAGATATAATTAGTTAAAATGAAGTGATACCGGAATAGAGTCAGCCTCTAATCCAATATGACTGGTCTCCTTATAAAAAGGGGAAATGTGGACACAGAGACAGATGTGCAAAGAAGGAGGATGATGTGAAGACGGAGGTAGAGAGCAGGGTGATGTAGCAGAAGCCAAGGAACACCAGAGGTTGCCAGCAAACCACCAAGAGCTAGGAGAGAGGCATAGAACAGACAATCCCTTACAGAGAAAAAGCTCTGATGGCACCTGAGCTTGGACTTCTAGCCTCCAGAACTGTAGGACAATAAATTTCAGTCATTGAAGCCATATAGTTTGTGGTGTTTTGTTATGACAGCCCTAGAAAACTAATGCAGGTCTCCTCTTCTGTAATCCTGTAACTATGGTGAAAATCGAAGTCTTCAATATTTCTCACCTGGTCTGTTGCAAGCAACCTTGGGCACCATTGCTGCCACAAGACTAACCCTTCCTTCTTTCATCCATCCTCCACTCAGCCGCCTAGTGATCTTTCCAAAAATCCATATCCCCTTGTAAGGAAGGTTCACCATTATCTTCAGGGTGTGTTCCAAGATCATTAGCCCAAGACCTTCATTAATAAAATCACTTGTCTTCCCTGAGCATTATCTATCCAATGTTTACATCTTTTAAGTTTCTTCTTAGGGGTCCAAATTCACTTGGGCATGACATGGAAAGAATGATCCACTCCCAGGAAGCTATCCACCAGCTTTTACGTCTGTCATTAGGGTTAGAGATCCATGGGGCCCCCAGAGCAGAATCCTCTCTAGAATTGCCACTCCAGCCCTGTGCCTGGGCTGGAGTGGCATCATCATAGCTCACCGCAACCTCATATTCCAGGGCTAAAGCTAGTATCTCCTTCATATGAGGACACTATGCATGTTGGAGTAGGACCTACACCAATGACCTCATTTAACTTTAATTACTCCTGTAAAGACCCTATCTCTAAACACAGTCACATTCTGAGGTACTGGGTGCTAGGACTTCAATGTATGAATTTTAGAGGGTCATTCAGCCCATGACAAGGACATTGTCACTGTTGTTTACCTCTTGGTAAAGTGCAAATATCCCCATTGTATGCTAATATCCCCACTAATATCCTCACTTAGAGTTTGTGTATTGTGGGGTAAGAAATCCCAGTTGTTTAGAACTCTTGGTTGGTGTACTTGACAATGCATCCTTTGCCAACTTTTTGGTGATCCATCCAGGCTGGTCCCTGCTGATAAAATTGAGCCAAGGGTATAGCTCAGCTCAAGTGTTTTATGACTGAATTTCTCTCTCTTTTTCCCCTTGCTGGTGATTCTAGGCACGAATAATCAGCTTCATTTTGCTAGGTTAGAAGGATGCTCTTCCACAGAAAATTATCCACATCAAACTAAAAACAGTTCCATATGGCAGTCCCATTCATCACAAGACTAGTCAAACCTTGACCACACGGCCTGCGCGAGAGTTTCATCTTTCTTACCGTCTTGGCTGTTGGCCAGCGTGTTGGTGTTCTGTGTCCTCGGTGACAAATGCAATCTAGAAAATTCTTTGCCATTTCCCTTTATGCTTAGATTTCTAGTAGTTCTTCCTGTTTTTTGTCCTCAGAGTAAACTCTCAACCTCATCTACACTTCTTCTCCTGGAAATCATTCAACGTGCAATAAATATTTATTAAACACCTACAATGTGCCGTGCACTCTCTAGAAAACGCTATAATTCTATAAAACATGAGGGTTTTGACTCATTGTTGAGTGGGTTTGTGTTTCAATGCTTTTTCTAGTTGTGGGTATGACTTATTCTAGAATAATACCCTGTTCGCATCTCCTTATGGCTAGGAAAGTAAAGCCTGTTGTCTGCATCCAGTCCAATTCTTACCTCTTCTCCTGCTGCGTCTCTTCTTACCTGCCTCTCTCAAGTCTCTCTCAAGTCCCTCCAGCCACCCTGCCCTGATGTCCTAGCTTATCTTATGCTTGTCCCTCTCTATGCCTTTACTTCCCTCCACCGTTTACCTGGAATGCCCTTCCCATCCTTCAAC